AAACCTCTGCACGACCTTGCTCAGCTGGTCATATTGCTCCTTGCTGGCATCCTGGACGGCTACCCTTTGGTTACTGGTCAAAGCAGTGACCAATGTCTTCATCTGCGCCTGTTGTGCTTGCAATTGCACCTACATTTGCTCCTGTAGAGCTTGCGATTGCATCTGCATCTGCTCCTGCTGGGCTTGCCATTGGGCTTGCATGTGCTCCTGTTGAGCTTGTAGTCGGGCCTGCATCTGTTCCTGTTGAAGCTGCATATGCAGCTTCATCTCCTCCTGTTGGAGCCGCATCTGGTCGACCATGACCGACAGGACCTTTTCCAGAGAGTCGCCATGCCGCTCTTCACTGGCTTTCGGCATAGTAGACTTCTCTGGTGTCGACGAAGTCTTCTGCTAAATTGATAACTTCGTAGTAAAGCTTACTTCTTTGCTCCTCGACCAGTGGTGCTTCCTCGATTTGAGCTGCAGCACTTCTTCTTGTCCTTGATCGATGGAGGCTTCTGGTCCTTGATCGTTGGAGCTTCTTCTGGTCCTTGGTCGGTGGAGGTCTTCTTGTCCTTGATCCTGATCGCCAGTTGTAGTAGAACGCGTTGAGTCGTTGACGATTTATTAGAAAAACACAAGAGTTCCCCCTCTGCCTATCGGCGTACATGCCGAGGGTTCACTAGGAATAACTAGAGAACAATATACACAAATATATCAAAGTGCGGCGGGTACGCCGCAACCACAGAGACCATATCGACCTAGCCTACACTGAGCGAGCAAGTTCCAATATAAGGGACGGCTCTACAACATACTGAAAATAGGGCATTTTATTGAACCCTAAGTTATACACACTAGGCATGTGCTGTTTGCTAGTGTTGGATCTGAAGACTTCTGGCAAATTGCCAGATCGAGTCGCGACTGAAATCGCGTGAAATATGCCCGGTCCTTTAGTCATACGGTCGTTAAGTGAACATCATAGGAAACGGCTGAAAATGCAGCCAATCAAAAATTACTCATTCTGCAAGGAGACTTTCCTTTTGTTTATTAGCTTTGTTGCAGATATGGTTTGGCATCTGCTGCAAAGTTTGGAACTGAAAGTTTCTTTAAAGACCCACATCGCAACATAGCAAAACATCCATGACTGTATCGTGTTGCGGAGTTATTCATTAAAAGAAATAAAAAGTGCATTGATATCAAGTGCCTTCTACCACGGAAGAATTCTGAGCTCTGACGTCGACTAGTGCAAACTGTTTGCAAGCACTCAGTCCAAAGCCTTTTTTCTCAGTAAAAGCTGTCCCAATTGCCTGAGGCTCTTCTGATGACTGCATTCCCAAAAAGCGGATGCTTCAAATTGCCCACAATTCATTAGAATCTTCTAGAAGTCAAGGACGTCTCTTCGTCGTCGCAAAACTTAATCAGCACAAGTCCCCGTCATTGAGTGTTTATTGTGGGAATGATGAAAACTCGCCGAGGGAAGAAGCTCGCGTGAAGCTCATTAGCGGCTATTGCCACATATGAAAACGCTCATTTCCTACTGCCCATTCGACTCTTCGTTATGTTCGCTGCGTGTGTCGATTAGCCTTTTTAGGCGATCGCGAAGATCTAGGAGATGCTAAAAAGCTCAATTACGATAGGTGCGATCACCCACACAGACAACCGTAAGCGCAAATATTAGGTTGTAACATAAGTTTTGTTACACTTGAAGGAAAAAATCTTCAAAACTTTCTCCAAAGATTTTTCCACATCTCCAAATTGAGTGGAGGACTGTAAATCTTCAATATATACATGTCGCACGTGGAAAATCCAATTTTGAATTTTTTGAGATTTTTCTGAATTATTCTTGGCAAATTTCCAAATTGCTTTATAGAACAGTCTGGACTTCCAAACTTCCCTCATACTAGTACTGATATCCCTAGGAATTCAGCAAAAATCTGAGAGCATAAAAAATAATAATGAGAGAATGTTTAAAGGCAAAAGGCAAAGAAAAAAATGGAGATTTGAGTGTCGTCACAAAATTGCCTTTATATTTATTGCGACCCATATCTGTAAACCTAGAAATGATGCTAATAGATACTCCTTTGTCCACTGCTCATATGTGCCAGATATTAGACTTTGTCGAAGTTTCTAGAGTTTTTAAGAAGAAAATGAAAAAAGTGTCTCAGAATGTATGTTACGACCTAATATTAGGCGATCAAACCTCACTCAAGAATCTCCTGCAAAATCTTGATGAACGGGGTGGTTTGACTGGGACTGAAACCCCTAACGAAAACCCTTTTAGCGTGTAGGGCCGAATTTACTATTTTAGAGCACAAATATCTTCATTTAGAGGTAGGGGTACGTCGGAAGAAAAGATAACATTGCAAAATTATGAAAGACGTCAAATGTGATATTATGCAAGTAATCCGTTTTCGACTATGGATTGCTGGAACGATCTACCTCATGAGATTTCGAAGTCCTTGAAATATTACTGAAATGCTGCCTCCCCCCCCCCCCCCACCAGAGATAAATTCCTTGAACTATTGCTGACTTCATCCTATATTTTTAGTGCAGGCGATTAAAAACAAATCTTTTACATTACTTGAAATTGTATAATTATGAAACTACGGTAAATTCGTTATCGTATTACATTCAGACAGCAAACAACGCTAACGTCTCGCTGACACCTCCTTCTTCTTCTCCCTCATCCTCCTTTCCGATCTATAGAAAGTGCAAATTCTTGTAGTGAGTTATTTGATGCTTTAACCGAATTTGTTATCACCAGACCTCAGTGCATCGTCATGCTACATCTGTGTAGCCCAGCCTCTCTCGGGTTAGGAATTTTTATTTTAGACTGGATAGGAGACTAGGTGAAGGGGGGAGGGGAGGAGGAGGAAAGGCGTAATTAGTGTAGATGATCGAGTAGATACGTGGTAAGTTAGACGATTCGTTTTTAAGTCCTAAGGGATTGTGCAAATCAAGCATGGCAAAAACGTGAGACTCTAGACTTGTTTTAGAAAAAGAAGAATTTGTCATGCAATTAAGCCAGGTTCTTTTGATCAGGGATCGGCACGAGGCGCTTTTGATGTAAAAACCGACCCCTTTGACTTTTGCGAACTTTTACAAAGTCCCCTTTGATCCTTGGCCCTAAATGTAAAACGAACCCTCAAAAGACGAAACGTTACTTTTTATATCAATTTGAATAAATAAATATAAATTTCTAATAATATAGCTTATTTTCGCCCTCAAAAACGACACCCCCTTTGCTTTTTGTCCCAAAAACGATATCCAGCTTGCTTACAAGTCCCTGTTCCAAGCTCTGTTTTTGATACTTCTCGCAAAAACCTGCTTTTGAAGCAAAACTTTATTTTGCAACCCTCCACTCTACGAAACACTTAATTTGCTAATAATTCCAGTAAATAGACTACAGATACGAATATGCTCATTCGATCTATTGTCGTAAAGACCGTGTAGAGGAGCGGAATGGAACAGAAATTTTCCTTTGGCGTCAAACTTTTCACCAGGAAAATTTTTTGACTCCAGTTTTCGAAAAAATTTGCCCTGCAATTAAATTAGGTTCTTTCAATCAGGGCTTGGCACGAGGCGGCTTTTAATGCAGAAACCGATGTCCCCTTTGACTTTTGCGAAATTTTACAAAGTCTCCTTTGACCCTCTGGCTACGAAGCTTATGTCGAGCAAACTCAGCTTTATCGAAATCCAACGATTTGCATGAAAATGTATGATCTTAGCTGTTCAAAAATGAAAGCATGCTTGTAATTTCCGAGTCAAGTTTGTTACAAGGAAAAAGTACACTCCATCCACCTGCGACCGTCACTAGCACCTGCCACTACTTTTATCCATTGGAATTTTCTGAATACTTTTTCCTGTAGCCCAGGTGTTGTGAATAGTCACAACATCGCTCAGTCACCCAATAATAAATACAATCGTTTTTTTTTTGAACCAATTTTCAGACGAAAGATCAAACGTCTTTTTGACACCGGAATAGCATGACCCTCAGCTGTTTTCGAAACGTCTGGTCTTCATAGCAGTTAAATTGCGTAAAAAGTTCTGCAGCACTTTGCACCAGATCGAGTTCAATCGGAAATAAGTAAGCCCCACCAGTGACGTTTTTCGAGAATGAGTTCCTCATGTTTCGATGACGAATTGCATTGGCAGCTAAGCTATTCGTTGATAGATTCCCTCGACGCTATGAATCTCGGCGACCATCGTGTGTCATTTTTGACTCCCGCTCACAATCGCGGAAGTTTTTTAGGTTCAATGACAGGATTTGAAGCGGGGAAAGCGTGCTATGTGGTCCAATGGGCTTTGGATTTTCTTGCAGAGGGAAAAACCTTGAGAACGACGAGATTATGCACAACTTTTTTTCAGAACTGATTTGTAATTCATGCTTGTAGAAATTTGCCAGATTCAAAAAACGTATCTGTTAATCCATAAAACTTCTGTTGTAGGAAGGGGAAGATACACGCACGCAAATACACCTTTTAAATCTTAGAATTTTCTATGTGGCAGTTTTCGAGCAAAACTATCTAGCAAAAAGTAAGTTATGGAGTATAAAAGAATACTCCAAAAAGTGCTCTGGTCGTCAATGGTCAAAGTATAAAATATCGTCATGGAAATTATCTACAATTAGGATGAAAATTTTGCAAAGAAAAAATTGTTTGCTATAGCACTTAGGTCTAATTGAACGTCAAATACAAATGGCAAACATGTGTTTGACATTTTCTAGAAAAAAAGTCCTCACTAAGAAAAAGGTTATGCTCGACCTAGATCTGTTCACTCTACACTTTGCGGGTGCAGGCAGATTCGCCCGACCGTAATAGAATTCCATACCGGACCGCCGTGGCGCGCGACAACCTCTCTACCGTACGCGACGTGGTAAGACAAGTTTTAGGACGCTTGACTGCTGAATACTATAGTGCAAAAAGACCGTTTCCCATTTTTTCTGCTTCTTTCTCCCGAAAGACAGAAAAAACATGATCTGTATATATTTTTTGCTCCATACCTTGCACAGCGAACAACAAACCATCTGAATTTCATTCATCAATTGCATAGTTCGACGTGAATTTGGCGAGAGCGAGATGTCAGAGATGCGACCGTAGTGTACGGTCACATCATCTGACGCAAAGGGGACGAGATGAACACTGAGATAGTGTGAGATCAGCTCAAACACCGGAGAGTATCGATGAATAAACAACACACGGACACCCATAAGATGAAGATGAACACTCGAAAAGGGGTAACACACTGACTGAACTGACTGTGACTATGACAGACATAACGTATTGGCAACTGCCTTTCTCTACTCGGTACAAACGGCTCAGATTCGGGAACGGGAGGATATAGTGAGATGTGACTACTTATGCTGCTATGATGTTAGAAAGCAGTTGGTTGATCTGAGCGGACGAGCGAGTTATCGACGTCCAGCTGAGCTCAGCTTGTTCAGGTTCATGCCCAATAGACCGTTGATCAGTTCAGCGTTCGATCTGCAAGTGGAGTTGGAAATTACATTTGTCGGATATACTGCGAAGGCATTTTTTGTATAGTGTCCCTTGGCCAACAACATTTGCGCGTAAATACTGACCATGCGCGTTCTAACGCCTTCTTACGCGCAAATCACAAGCAAGTGACAGCCATCATAGCGCGATATTTGCTTTCACGCAAATGTTGTCGTCACTGTAGGGGCACTAAATCAACCGTCAATTTACTCATTTGTAATTGAATAAGCGCACCAAGCCACGGTCATGACGTCACAATTTTGCGCTTTAACGTTTCTTATGCCGAGAAATTTTTTCTTATTTTTCTCTTCAGCAAAAAAGGCGCAATAAGTGCAGGACGTTTTTGAAATGTTCTCAGCTAAATTTCAGTTAAAGAGAGCGCTATCTCTGTACAACTAGCTCGAACTATTTTAGCAAATGCAGCGCGCTAATCGACGGACTATTGACATTTGGCCCACGTAGGAGCAAAAGTGAATCCTGTGGCCGCAATGGTCAGCGAAGAAAATCGGAAAAGTTAGTTTTTACTCATTATTTGATGAATGAATAAATCATCTTCATTTGTTGTTGATATGTATGTTATTTTTCAAATTCCCTTACGCAACACCAAATGTCAAATGGCCCGCCACTTAGTGCGCCACATTTGTTGAATCCGGTGAACCTGTTTATAGCTCAGTGGTGACGTCAGTCTAACTGTTTACGAGTACAAAGTCGTAAGGTATTGGGTGCGGTGTGCAATTACAGTACGTTTCAAACGCTCATTCTATAAAATATGTAATGGCAAGAATTTTTCGTTAGTTCCAAGCTTTAATCTTGAGATTTTCTTGCTTGAAGAGTTTGATGAATTATTCTGTCTTGAGTAATCTTTCAGCTGCTCTGCGCCTAAAAAAACCTAAGTAATTTTGAGACAAAAAGCCAAACTAAGCTCAGAATTCTTTTGAAGGAAAAAGCTACTACGGAATAAGTCCCTCAAAATGTTCCAAGTAGAAAACCAAAAACCATACAGTAGACAGACGCTCAGCATGCCATACTCATTATCCAAGGTTCAGATTTTTGTTGATCAGAGCATGCTTACCGCTTGCCGACTTGCGACAGCTTGCCGAGGTCCATTCCAATGAGGCCATTTATCAACTCTGCATTGCTCCTCTTTACGAACTGCGTGTCATCGTACATCTAAATTATTGCCATCATTAGTGTCGCGACGCAAAATATGCTGACTTTTCCTAGATTGCAGAGAATATTGCAATGCACCATACAGACGCCTAATATTGCGGAAAAAAAGCTTGTAGCCGAGTCATTTTAGGCTTACCCGTGCATTGCACACTAACTGCGTTATCCTACGACTTGGGTGCTTGAATGTTGCTTTTTAAAATTTTTTGTACAATTTCTTGGCTTTTTGAGCTATTGAATAATAAAAATGTTCATTCACAGCATTTGCTTCACCAAAGAGTTTTTTACTGGCTTTTTCCGAAACAAAGTCGTCAAATATTGCGTAAGATGTGTAAAGTCACACACTGAATTACACGACTCGGCTATGCATCTCTATGCGATCTGAGTTTTTAGCTGAACTAGCAAAATTTCCCGTTTCAATGTCACAGACAACTAGCAGACTACAATCTCTTAGCTCAGAATCGAAAAACATGTTGTTTGAACCTTTTCACCCAAGCAGAGAGGACGCTTTAAAAAGCTTTGCACTGTAGTGCAGATAAAAACATTATTCATGATTCTTGGCAATCCATAATAAATTTTTTCGCAAAGTTCCCTTGAGAATGAGTTGATGGAAAATATCTTCACTGTTAAAAATGCAAAGATGTTGCACAACAATGGATTTTTTTGGCATTTCTCACATAAGAAAAATCTTTCTTTGGAGCCTAGACGTACTCGAAAAACCTTTTGACCTTTAAATTTACGGAAAAAAAATGCGACGCAATTCTTGTGTATACGATTTGAAGCTAAATCACTGCCCAGACATAGGCAAAAACGCTGCAGGCGGTCTTACATCCCCTTTCCCGAAAAATCTTTTTGTGCTAATGAATATGTTAAGCTGCAACAGCTTAATGAGCGAAGCAGATGTGAACTGAAGTGTCTGGAAAGAGCAAGTCAGTCTAATTTGCATTTTGTGTAGGGTATTCTGCTGCGTCAGAGCCTAAGGTACGAGGTAAGTAATCATAAATAACCCTCATTCTCGGGTAGCTTTTACGGATAACCCACAATAAATGCCGGAAACTCTGACGGCTCTAGGTCTGATTCTGAGTAGCTGTCACACAATCAGCCAATACAAACTACTAAGGACCTGAATCAGCCCCATGTGCTGAGGCTTAGGGTCACTTACCTTGATATCTGGACCCTGTTCCAATCACCTCGCCAAAGGATTGCCCTCGCTAATCTTTGACACTCGAGACAAACTACTATTGCTTTGTTTTCATAATCTTCGTTCACAAATTCCCTAAGCTGACGAAAACAAAGCGTCATTATTGTCGAAGCACAAAGCACGGCTAAGAGGGGTTCAAAAGGGTTTCGATGGCAATGGACGACTAACGCTATCTCTTTAGATCGAAAACCGTGAAAATGTGACAAAATTACGAGGTATTTTTGAAGTATGCAAATGCAAACCCTGAAGAAAAAAATAACCTGCACTATGATGATTGAAAAAAGCCTTTGTTTTGGATTTTATTCAATAATTTGGTGTGAGTAGGATGCAGAGATTCTGCAAAGACAAAGGTGCCACGAAATAACTTTTGGCTGGGCTTATGAGTACAGTAGTATTATGAGGCTATGTTGGACATTGGAAATTGAACTTTATTATACAGGAGCCTAGCCACTCCCTTTTTTTCAAAAACCGGTAACGTCTGGCTATGAGACCGACAACGTTGTTGATAATAGACCAAATAAAAAGAAAGAATTTTGAATGGAGTCAATATTTGGTCCAGAAGATATTCGCAATAAAAAACGAATAATTGATGACTTTCTTAGACTCGCTCTAGACATTTCTAAGCCCACAAAACACTCGGTCAACGCTTATTGAGAAGGTTGAATAGAAATGCTTACAGATGGAGAGATGGAGGAGAAGGGGGGGGGGGAAGAGCTGAAAGAAGAATTGTTGCTGTTAACAATAAGTGCACTTACACCACTTATTCACAGTTTGAAATAGCGTCATTAGAGCTGTACTTACCAAAACATAAACAAAAAATTTTTTGAATATTTTTTATTCATTTATATTTTTTTGTTCAGAGACCATAGCTTTATTTAAGGCAACAATTTCTCAATGGATGCCCGATCGAAGCAGCCGGAAATTTGCTTTGCGACCCTGATGTGTTTATCACGACGAACCCTGCGAAGTTGAGAGTACTGAAATTCGAATTTTATATGGGAAGCCTCCTAAGGGGAATGAAAAACACTTGCGGGGTTATTGGGTTGGTTTAGAAAAACCCAATATCCAGACTGCTTGCAGGTTTTTGACAATTTGGGAGAAAATTCAATCTTGTTGCCTTCTTCGCTTGGTAGGATTATTCGCAGTGGTCAACGAACTTTGAAATTTAATTTCGGCCTGGATTTTGACTAGTATTTTAACAAAATTAAACATCGTTTTTTACCATTTTACGGCCTATATAACCGAGATATATATATTTTTTGATCAAATTTATACTGTAATCGGTGTATTTATTATTATGTTTGAATTTTAGATAGCTCTAAGACTAACAAATCGAAGGAAATAAATTTTTCATGGAAAAAAAGAAAATTTCAAATGGCATCTGAAATGTAGAACCTAAATCACCTTGGTTACGGTCTCAATAAAACGGAAGAATTTTTTTTTTCCAAAAGCCAGGTGATGCTGTAATTGAGGCTTGTGCACAGCACATTATATTTATCGCATAAAAAAACAAAAGAAATAATTCGAATCTCCGATCGCTGCTGTGCGCTATTCGGTTTCAATTGTCGTCCTTTGCAATTACGATTGGCATTTTTGAATTTAGGTACGTGACTGAGATGCCCAAGCAATTAGAAATAGAACATCGGAATGGAAATGAAACTAGCGATTAGATTCCAAGCTATGCGTACTCATTTTGATGTACCTTAACACTTGAGCGAGTTTGGTATGAGACATGGGGAACTTCATCCCGGTATATCTACTCTAAAATTCGTTTTTATCTGCTAGTTTATTTCGAGTAAAAATTTTCGCGATGAAATGCTGAATGGAATTTTATCAAGATCGAATTATATTACAGCTTTCGCTAGGGAAGATCTCATTTGGCGATAAGCCAAAGCTTGCAATTTACGTTCGTAATTGCACTTTTTGCCTTAATTATTGCCATTAAACGGGCATTTTTGCTAGACGACGGGTTTTATGTAACGGACTTTGGTCAGCAAAAATTTTATGAAATCCCAGTCTTACATGTAGCTATAGGCATAGTAAGCTTTGCGCTTTAGGGCATCTGTGCATGCGACAGATTCTTCCCTTACTAAGGTCGAGTTATGCTTTTGACCTACCTGTGGATTACGGTAGAGCAACGGATTCGCAGAGCTGACAGCTAAGACGGAAACGATCAGAGCCAAAAGCACGGCGAAGAAGCTGCGCATCTCGTTTGTGTGCTGTGAGTATTCAACAGAAGACGACGGAGGGAGTGACAGCCCCTTCGGCTTCGCCCCTCCCACCGACCGCCCCCTCTCGACCGCCCCCTTTCAACATACACGAGCACAGAGGCAAACTAAGAGTAATGTGTGTATGGACGCTAATCACAGCTGTGGAGCAGTTCGATTCGAATGCGTTCAAAAAATTCATTCAGAAGCCCGGGCAGGGTTATGTGAGAGGCGTTAGCAAAGTAGCAACTTCTCAGCGCTTCAGTGTTTCTCTCAAATTTCAAAAAGTCGTTAGAGCAGGAGAAATGGCTATAGACACAGTCAAGGTGGGAAAACGCGAGCCAAGGGAGAATGAAAATGTGTGAAAAGCGAATTCACACTATTTTGGGTCGTAGCATAAGTCTTCCTCATACAGAAACTTCGCCAAAGTCTAATAATTGGCATATATGAGGGAGATACCCTTTGTATTTCACCTCTAGAAAATTAGTGATAATAAGTTATATCGATAATATTTAGTAAATATAAAGCCAATCCTGTAAACTTCAACTTACATTCCGTATCTTCTAAAAATTCTTTCTGATCCTCCAATAACCCAAGTCAGGAGTTGGCAAAAATTCGAAAAATCATTGTTTGTTTGCGACAAATAACGAAAAGCTCAACTAGCTCTCTCCGTGAAAAACGAGGAATTCCTCTCACAGTGCAGCAGAACATACCAGTCGTATCATATTTTTTCTTAGGGGTAGAAAGAACCTATTTTCATTCCCTCTTACTGCACAATCTGAAGCTATGATTACAAGATTGAATCCTTGAGATATATTATGGCTTCCATTCCTACCAACCATCACTAAAGTACTTGCTAGTGATAGGAAGTATTCGAAGATTGCGTAGGAAGCCTGACCTCCAAGGACATCCGTTTTTGGAATCAGCGCAAGATTTTTCAGAGATGATATCCCCAACAAACTTCAAAATTTCAAAAATGAAGAACCTCAAAGAGAAGCTCGATTTTGCTAAATTCACTACTGAATGGCTCGGCAGCAAATTCTGGTAAGAGAATCTCAAATGCTTGTACTAACCTTTTCTGTGACCTCTTTTTTTCCGCTAAGTTCAGTGCTCAGATTTCAACATTATTCAATTCTTCTTGACGCTAATCGGTGCAAATTCATGAATAGAGATAGATGAACACCTCTTTCAACGTATCCGTACAATACCTGCGTAAATTACGCTTTTTGTGTTCAGATTTGTAAATTGCAACATACAAAGAGTCAAAAAATGCCGCAGAAATGGTAAAGTTAGAGTTCTTCCTTTGTATCATATCATGATGCACAAGTCTTGCAGCGAATTTTTGTCATTTGTCATTCCTAACAGTGATTTGGATATGTTTCGGAAGAAGAAAATCATGCTTTCCAATCGTGCTCAAAACAAAGACCATTGTTAGCAAATTGGGCCATAAAAGGCGATGAATAAAACCCTTGAGTAGTGCCTTCTTAGTATTCGGTCGTCAATATGCTCAAGAATGTTTCATGCTGACAGTTTATTTTATCTAAAACAGTATTTCCATTAGTTGTTGCGAAGAAGAGATGCACATTATCGTAATTTACTTAATTTACAAATATTTCAATTTTACCCAGACTTGGACGCTATATATTAGGTCGTTTCGAAAAATCTTTCCGTTTCTTCAATCTATTGTAAAAAAAAGGTGGAATAGGTGCAGGCAAACCTTCAGAAATATCCTACCCAGTTTTTCTTCCCTTTCTAGCAGTCATGTTTTTGTGCTGGTTATCCTTGTGGTTACTACAATAATCGCCGAGCGAACCCATGGTTTTGACCATGTCCAGCTTTGGCAATTTTTCAAAATCTTCTATTTGGACTTTTGGAAAAGTTGTAACGGCATTAGGCAGCGTAAACAAAGTGCAATACAATGCAATTTTTTGGCATCTCCAACTAGCTTCTTGGTATTTTTGAGATAACTCTTCCGAGTCTTCACTTTTGCCAAGTCGCAAAATATTAGGTCGTTCCGAAAGTAATGTCGCTTTTTTCAAATAAACGCCACATTTCATGGAATCAAGATTTTCAAGAGATCTTGAGAGCATTCGATACAGCATTTCATCCTCTTTCTAATGGTTTTAATTTCATTGCATAATTTTCATTGAGCTTTCGAAAAATTAACAAAATCTGCAACTCATGCTTTTTGCCATGGTCAATTTCGGCAATTTTTTAAAATTTTTGTACCTATTCTCCGAAGAAGTACAAGTGGCATGTAGAAAGAGCAAACCCTATAGGACACAAAGTAATTTTTTTCTTTTCTTTAGCTTTCTCCTTAGAGTTTCTGGAATCAGTTTTAAAATGCCATCAAATTCCATATTTGGTCAACTCAAACCTCACAGAACAACAACCGGCAAGCAACTCGGGTGTCATTCGACGCAGCTTTTTCTCCTCTTTTTAGCGGTTGTTTTTTGTTTCCGATTCATCAAGTTTTCCGAGATGAAATCATCATAATTCAGGTTTTCCAGGGCGCCTCCGGCTGTACCCGGAATTTTTGGGAGCTGCTAATCTGGAGCGGTAAACGCTCATTTGCTTTGTAAAATTAGTGTAAAACCATAATCCATTTTTGTGAGTTTCAAATTCCGATCTGGTGTTTGAATCTTGGTGTTTGATGCATTAGTGTCTGAGACGAGCCTGCTAAAATTCGGTGGCTCCATCAAAAAATCTATACAGAAATTATGACGAGCTCTGAAATGTAGAAAAAAGTTGTGCTGTTTTCCGTAGGGTTTGCTTTATCCATCCATTACTTGGGCTCCTTCCGGGGGTTGTTATAAAAATTTGGAAAAATTGTGAAACTTGACCTTCTCAAAAAGCATGGGTCGCAGATGAAAATCTTTAAATCGTTTCCGGAAAATTTCTTTTCAACATGTTGCTTAGCCAACAAACTCATTACGTTGCAATTACTGGGAAGCGCTCGCTCAAAATTATGATGAGCTCTCGACATGTTTTTGAAGGGAACTCATTGATTATCAGAGCAAAAAATGTCCCTATAAATTCTTTTGCATTTGCACATCAAGAACAGTTGGAGCATCCTGAATGCTGTGGCATTATTCGCACAATGTAGGGTACTATGGAAAATGTGGAAATAGATGAATCATTTGAACAAAGAAATACAATTCAGATATCGCTGATTCATGTTTACTGGGACAACATCACTAAGATAATGTTCTAATTTATTTTCTATAAAAAAACAGAAATTTATGTACATTTGGAAGCCATAAAGCCACCCAGGATGACACTTACTGTTCCTTTCACGTAAGTTTTCAGTGTGTATGAGTCAAAAGTGAATATATTTTTTGTGGATCTCCACTTCAAGAAATTTTCTGAAATTATTTTTCTCAAGTCTTTCTACCTACAAAAAATCATCATTTTAGCCTTCATGGGTGAATTTAATTCCTTATCCGTTCTTTCTGTCTGGTTTTCACTTGAATTAGACAAGCTTGGTTATCCAGATATCGGTATCACCAACAGGAGCCACTTTTGAGGGAAATCTTTACCCAAAGTTTCGATGCAAAGCAAACATTCAACTTTGCAATCTACTTTGTTTTGACTGCATGAGATTTGATCCCACGTTTGTACATCAAGAATCGTGGATGTGTCGGAGTATTTTCCCGGAATGTCCTTTTCACATCGGACTTCAGCCAAATCTGCTAGAAATTCATAAAAAAAACCCGGACACACACACACACACACACACACACACACACACACACACACACACACACACACACACACACACACACACACACACACACACACACACACACACACACACACACACACACACACACACACACACACACACACACACACACACACACACACACACACACACACACACACACACACACACACACACACACACACACACACACACACACACACACACACACACACACACACACACACACACACACACACACACACACACACACACACACACACACACACACACACACACACACACACACACACACACACACACACACACACACACACACACACACACACACACACACACACACACACACACACACACACACACACACACACACACACACACACACACACACACACACACACACACACTCAATTGGGTTGTATTCTCCCAATTTCCGGAACTTGTTTATTGTTTGCACATTTGCGCAAGAGAATCTGCAGCTCCCACATCGGCAAACTCAATCACTTCGACTAGAGTCACCTCTTCTACAGCGTTCGCATGCGAGACATTCTACTGACGTCACTCGCGCTCGTTTTGAGTTTGTTTTGTTTTGCCTACACCTAATCTCATTTCAAAGCCACTCTTTTCCAATACCGTATGCATTATGCCCTCCTTTGGGACCAGCTCAAATTCTTCCGCATTTGATGCCTTCTTCGCGCCTTATTGTGGTTTTTATGCTGTAAACTACTAAGTGCTGAACAATGTTGCCAAACCTTTCAGAGCTGATATTCTCGCCCACTATCTTTTTATCAAGTAGGGGGCACTTAGACAATCGCAAATGACTTCCGGGGAAAACAAAATTTCTAAAACTTCTGGGGGGACACTTCTATTAGAGCTGCCATTAGGGCAGGGCCAGATAGGGTAAAGCCCACCAATGCGGCCCAGCAGAAGCGTACGCCCCGGAAGCTTTAGAAGTTCAGTGTTCCCCGAAAGTCATTAGCGATTGTCTGAGCATAACACACTCTAGTCATTTCAAACCCTGATGCCGCTATCTTTCACAGTGTCATCGGCTTGTGCGGCTTTGTTTCCACTCGCAGCAGTGACCGCGTCGCTTAGGACTTGCGTCGCGTCTGCAGCGTATTCTCTGGGCAATTCACGTGTCACAATGCCCAGACGGTGCGTCGCAGACTCAGCGCAGAGTCTAAGCGAGGCGGTCGCTTGCCGAGCGGCACGAGCTGACGACACTGTCACTGAGACAGAGGATTTGTACAAATGCTTACATTGCGCATATTGTGCGTCCCATACCAAATTTTTGGGAGCGCAAATGCACAACTGATTTTGTGTGTGTGCAATTGCACAAAAGTAGCACACGCAATGAAATTTTACTCGAACACCTTTGCATAAGAGACGAATGAGATAGAAAATTTCATTTCTCAATATTCGACAGCATCATATAACAAGAATTTGAACGCATTTGCTTAAGCAGCTCATAGGAGTGATTTATTGCAGAATTCTACGACTGTACACACCATAACGACTCATTTTTGCATGTGGACGGGATTTGAAGGGGATGATGAAAACAAAGCAGCGGGATTGCGAAGTAGGCGCTGAGCTAGACATTCGAAAATGCACTTTGGCAAAGGCACACACTGATTGAAATCGCCGCGATCAGTGCGATCTGGCGATTCTGCGATGCGCTGTGCGAGCGGCGATTTGCGACGCGACAGCTACCATGAATGACAAAATGCTAGGGAGAACAACAGCGAATAGAGAGAAATATATAAGAGCATTTGTGCGTATTATGCCTAGATAAACACCATAAAGCGCTGAGCACTAATCGAGGGTAAAACAGCGACGATAAAAGACATCTCATCAATGCGATCACATGAAGCGACAAACGCGCTGCTACTCTGTATATCTACACAAGCGAGACACTAGCGGTGAGCACTCAGTTTGCAAACTTCGCGTGCGCGGATCGCGCCAGAATCAGAGTGGACGAGCTCGCTGGTTGCGGTACTTCTCCAACCGGCTCTGCAGATGCTTGTTCGTCTCCTTTTGTTCGTCGAGGGCATTCTCCTTGTCGCGCAGCTGTAAAGATAACTTTGCATGATTATTGCGATGTGTCATAAATAATCCGAGTGCGAATCCTAGCAAATTTTGAACGTGCCAAAATTTTCATAGGCACAGGCGCCAAGTCTCATAAAACATATTCTGAGCTAGCTACATGTAATTTGAGAATGTTAAACGCCTATTTGTTTCTCGAAATTCCTTGCTTTTTTTGATCTACACTTTGCACTCAAAAACAATTGGACTTGCATAGTATCGGATAGTAGCTTAGACCGCTTAGCTTGAAAAGCATAAAATTTTTTCACTTCTAGCAAATTGTGAGCCAATAAGATTACAAACTGAAATGTTTCAAACATAAAAGATCATGAAGAGATGAGCTAGCTTAGCGGGGATTGAGATACATCATGCCCCGGCCAGACTTTGCTCAAAAGCGCCCAAAAGCGCCCAAATTTCTCCAATGTCTCTTCACTTTTCGTGTGAGGAGAGATGAGAGAATTAGAAAAATTTGGGCGCTTTTGAGCGTTCTGGGCGCTTTTGATCGAAGTCTGGCCGGAGCCTCGAACATTACAATATTGTCCTCAGTTCTGCTTAATTTATTCTACAATCTGTTCCACTTAGAATTACGAGAAATCGAAGCAAAAGCTTCTAAACAATGACGAAGATGGCAGATATTCATATGAAAACTAGAGTACTCCTGAACTAAAAGCGCGATTAACGACATCTTATCGAACTTTCTCAAGCATACTGCACTTGATGAAAGCCTGGTGAGAACTGAAAAATTAAGTAGCCTAGCGGGCTAGTTCATAGAGAAAGAACTGTAGTTTGCAAACTATGCAGGAATGACCTATGCACAATATGCAAAATAAGTGAGAACGTAAGGCAATGAAGTTTTGGCAAATGAAAATTAGTATACAACAAAAAACACTGAGTTTCAATGGTATATGCGAAAAAATGATTCCAGACTTTCCGTGTCGTCTCACTAGAGAATGATACTTAGTCGAAGTGGCGTTTCCATATGAAACGTGTACTGTCTTATAGGATAACGAATGCTGATTCCAAAGCTGCCTTTGATATCTGCAAAGCGCTTCCGGGAGGGAATCTATAGGAATCTTTTAAAAGCAAATGAAGGCGCCGCTACAATTTAAACTTTGAAACTCCAAACATTCAGAACTGTAGTCCTCGAGCTCAAATGGGCCTTGATTATTGCCACGGCGCTTTATGCAATAAATACCTGCAGTTTAATAAATTTATAGTTATTGCTTCCAGTTATTGCTCCTTTCTATCAGTGGAAAGGCCATACTATTTTCACCGCTGCCAAAACTTTGAATTTCAACCATGAAAATTTCCACAGCCTTCCAGAAGGGCTTTGCAGATACCGAAAGCAGATTTGGAATCAGCATTTTACGCTCTATAAGAAAGTCTACATCACATATGGTAATGCCACTTCGACCGAGTATCCTTCCCTTGTCACAGATAATATGGAGTGTAAGTATGTCAAGATATCAAATTAAACAAATGAGATCTACTTAGGGCTTCCCAACTTAAATGCAACCCCATATTCCCATGACCTCTCACTCTTACCAGATTCTACATAAATGTTATGATAGCAAGCTTTTTGCTTTTGATATCAGTATCGAAAATTTCTTCCACAAAATTGTTGCTGATTCCAGATCAGTGCTCAGCACACTTGATGACGACAGCCCAATCAAATCTGCTTTCAAGCAGCTAATCGTCCTGATTCCTTTATCCTTACCCTTATTATCTAAGTCTTTGATCTATTGTACATCAGCTGCACTTAACAAATCGCTAATGAATACTCCCACTAGACATCAATATGCAATCAACACCTCTTCACAGAGTCTAAGGGGATGGTGCACTATCATAGGGAGGGAACCGTCAAGTTGTCTCTTCGTGGCAGCCTTCAATTAGAGAGAGTAGCAAAAGCAACAAGTTATGAGTGAAAGTCGGCGACAAGGCTCATCCCCGACATCCTAGCTAGGGGGTAAATTATAGACGAAACTCACCTCAGAAAGTAGCCTTCTCAAATTATTTCATAGGAAAGTGTAAAGACTTACATCTTTCTTAAGCTGCCGATTTTGTGTTTTGACTTCATCTAACTCCTTTTCAAGCGCTTCAGCATTCGCTTTGAATCGCTTCATTTGTCCTTCTACTCGGATTATCTGCAAACCAAAAAAAATTCAAGAAAATCTGAGATGAAACACATTTCAAGAAGAGGGGTTTACACAAAACTGACTGATGCAGAATACACAAATCAGATAAACAAGTACTCACACTGCCCTGATGATTGGTATTTTCACGTTCAGCTTCCTGAAGCTTGAACTTCAACTCAGCCAGTTGCTTTGCTGCCTCTTCTGAAATAATCAACTGAGCTTTTACACCTTTTCACTTCAGCTATTACTATTACTAATTGGAACATAAGATCATTTGAGAGTTTGATAGAACGTAGAATTCCACTAAGCCATTACCTGCTAGAAGCAGAAGCAGAAATCAAATATTCGACAAAACTAAAGTATGCCAGGCCCGAATTAAAATGCTCAACATATTCTTCAACTTATCACTAATGCTGCTGTGCCAAAATCATCTCGTTTTTCTTATATTTTCTCTTTATGATTCACGCATCTTGTGCTCTCTTAAAAAATATTTTATACAATTTAGCTCCTTCGTTTAGATCTACACCTCAAGAATTCCGAGCCCTCTCAAACATGTGCGTGGACCTTTCCATCAGACTTTGTACCATGTTCTGTTTAGCTTATCTATCATCATGCTTCTTTGCAGATGATTTGGAAAAGGTTCTAACACGGAAAGCAAACCAGTACATAAGAAATAAACAAAAAGCTGTGTAGGAACACTAGCTAGAGTACTTTACTTGGTGTCAAGGGTAATGTATTGCAATTTGTTAATGCGGATGACAAATCTACTCCAAACACTTGATGAAAACACCCTCATCAATCATTTTGGTTCCACATAAGTGCGTGCCGGATATCCACAACCTCGATGCGCGTAGATTATGGATATCAACGGAATAACATAGTGGTATAATTGCAAGAGGGATGAGCGTTGCATGAACCAAATCTATCTCTTCTAGAAAGCAAGATCAAGATGATTCCAAAACCAAAATATACCATAAATCAAATTTATCTCAATTTAGAAAATGCCCACAATACCAAAAATACAGCAAGATCAAAACGTTTTCAAGACTAAAATCTACAGCTTGTTGTCGTATTTTTGCAACGAGCACAACCGTCTGCTCTCAAAAATTATGGCTCTGCATGAAATTTAGACGGTTTCACATCTTCTAGTTTAATTCCTTTTGACAATTCTCTCATTCCTATACACATATCAGTGCAGGAGCAGAATTTTTTCGAGAAGGGACGAGGAGATGGAGCAAAGCAAGTAAGATTTTTCGAGATAAGTCGTTCTGCAAAAACAGTATAAGGAGCTCTCTACGGTTTCAAGAGCTTACGCGATTACACCCCCAGAAATTTTTTACAAGACTTCTGCACATTCTCAAGTGATTATCTGGAGATTTCCAATTTAGCCCTATGCGGACTATGGAGCTAGTGTACGCACCAAATATGGTAGTTCTTTGTAGAAGGAATGTATACAACTAAAAATTTCTTCCAAGATAACTGACCATTGTGCATTGATCTACATTGTCTTAAAGTATTGTTGTCAGCATGTCGATCACATATGTGCTGAAACTCGAGCCCAAAACGAGGCCAACACAATGCTATACACTTTACATATTTATTCGCGCTGATCCCAATGCAATAACAAATTATTCGGTAGACTATTGTAAGCAATTTCTGAATAAGATATTCTTGATTCCCTTCGACGAAACATCTATCGCCAGGAACGTTTCCTACCATTATCTTTTATTTGTAATTTTTTACGTTTCTTACTACCGCTGGTGCAAATGATGATACAATGTGGTGTGACAGTTCAAATAATTGCAAAATCAACTTCTCTCCCTTTTACCAAAGTTTATTCACCCTCGACGCCTTCATATTTTCTGTAACTGAAAAAAGTGTACCTAGTCAGGGTAGATCTATACCTGCAGCTGAAACAAAAAATTAGGACGTGCGTCGGCGGTCTGCGTCGGCGGAACCAAGAAACTTTTTTCTGCATTACGTAAATGGTTTTTCAAAGGGCCCGATGAGGCGAAATTAGCGGCCAGTACTACTTGGCTCCTTCAAAAAATGTTACATGTTCAGACAATCAACGCGTCCAAGACGGCATGGCCATGGACAAACTATTTCTTATAGTCAAATTACGTATCTTGGATAATCAACTCCTGCATTAGCGACGAAGCATCGATGAAGACTGGAGGAGAGGAGAGGGAAGAAAAGGCAAAACTCAGACTTCTATGCCTGCTGTTGGAGAAAATGGGTTAGAGTAGAATCAACGAAATCCGCAAACAAAAAACGAAATGAATTGATACTATAGAACGGATACATATTATGGATCGTAGTCAACCGTATCATTCATTCTGCTCACAAATTACTAGCAATAAGATACCGTTCAAGTGGCAAATATCCAAAAACGAGCTGCAAAAATTCAAAAATCGTCCATACGTGAAAGTGAGTCGTTATTTCGTGACACTTACAAGGAAAGAAAAAATAGTCAAAGTGGCCTTTCAAAATGAGATGAATAATAAAGGAAAGGATAACCCTAATTCCAATTCTACCGAAAAGTCATGAAGGTTATTATGAATAAAAATTTGAACATGCGGATAGGATAAAATCAATCGTAACATTTTTCCTGGAGCTTGAAATATTGTAGCGTTACTTGGTGCAATAGAAATTCTTGATGCAAACATATCCACTCAACGCTGCCTCATTCGAATGCCAGGAAAAATCAAGACTGATTTTAAATTTGAATGTCCATAAAAACCACCAAAACTCCTTGCTCAGAAACGCGCAACATATAAGAAAGGTAGATTTGAAATCAGTGTTTCATACCCTGCAAGGCGGTATACATCTCACATTGAAAGGTTACTTCAAGTGATCTTCCTTTCGTTGCTAAAATAAGACTTGAATTTAAAATGAGAATTGTGCTAAAATTCCTCCAAAACGCCATTATTCTGATAGAGTGAGAATGAAGTTTTGAACCAAATTTTTCAAAAACTCAAAAACCTCCAAAAAAACAGTCTTGACTGAGGTCGCATTTCTCCCTCACAAAAAAAAGGTTCTAGAAAGACGCCTTCAACAATCGAACAATAGCTTCAAAGTGTCATCTTATATATAAAGCTGAATGTCTGTTTGTCTGTCTGTCTGTCTGTATGTCTGTCTGTCTGTACGTATGTTCCAAATAGAAACTTCCATTTCTGAACCGATCCGGACCAAACTTGGCACACATACACATCGGGCCCCGGCGAGTGCCATAGGCCACTTTTCGTCATCGACCAATATCGATATTATCGATTTTTTGCAAAATTTGAGCTGCGGGGCTGGGAATTGGCACAGGGGGGTAATCGAGCATGCTGATCACCCCCGTGCTGATCACTCAAAATCTTCGCGACCTATTTTTGGGAGAGGGGGCCTTTGGTCCGCCACTGTCCATGACTTGGGAAAAAAATCATAGTCAAAGAAATTCTCCTAGTTTCTCTCCAATCATGCGTGAGTATAGATACGCATTTCCCATCCTCCATCGAAACAGTATTTGCTCACTGCACAGCAAGATGCGTAAAGAACGGCGCGCGGTGGGGAATTTCACGTTCTAAATTACAAATGACTTCACTATTCCCAAGTTTATGCATGCGCCCATCCATAAAATGTTCAGCTAACTAAATTAGGCAGAAGGCTCAAAGTATCTACTATGAGTGCTTAACCTATTGACGACGACGCCTAATTTTGCGCGGCGTCGCTGTGGGACGACGCGATTTTGCACAACACTTTCAGTGTGGGAAGGTTTCGTGCTTATTTACGAAATGCAACATTGTTTTGTGAACAACTATTGACATTTTCTTGAGCGACAGAGCCTATAGCCCTAAGAATACAAAAAATTGGAAAAAATATTCATATGTGGAAAAAATACTAGACCTGTATATAATACGACTTTGCGAGAGGTGTGGGCCACCGGGGGTCCACATCGTCCCTGGCAGCAAAAAGCGCGTAGACCACCGGTGGTCCACATCGTCGTCAATGGGTTAATATGTATTATATTTGGGTCCGAATCAAATAAAAATTCGATCATTCGAATGAAACATTCGAATTACTCGCATTCGAAACTCGATATTCGGAGTTTTGCCATTTTCGAATAAAATTCGAAAACTCGAATAATAAAAAAACGTGATTTCGATCGACTTTATCGAGCTTACCGATTATCGGAAAATCTTGAGCTACGGAGCTGGGAGCTGACATGCGGGTGTCTCTAACTATTCGATAAATCATTCGAATATTCTGCGGCCCAATCATCTATACAAATTCAACATGAGTATCTATACAAATTCAACATGAGTAATCTCGGTTGAACCGACCAGTGATGAACAGATGGGACAACTATAACGGAAGGATACAGCTATGATTTTCCCTAGTCTTTTTCTCTGTCGTGCCATGATTTCTGATGATGGCAACGACAAACGAAAGAGGATGACGAAAAAATTGATGATGAAAGAAAATGTTAAGTCAATCTTGCCGCAATGCAGTCAGCCGGAATCTTACCGAATAAAAACAGCTAAATGCTTAGACATTGAAGTGGTCCTTCGGGACAAACTTGAGCGAAAAAATCATATCACACGTTCCACTACAGATATATGCTGGTTGAAACTTACGAAAATCAAAAGAAATGCGGTCAGACCAGGAGGTCCAAAATTCATTCGATGTTAGAACTACATGCTGAGGTTCAATGCCCAAGGAGATGCCCAAAATAAATCAAAAACTCTTACACTTGTAGATTATCAAGTTTACTCTGGAGAAAAAGCCCGATATTGAAAAGGTGAGACCATAGCAACTCCCCAAAGCATATTTGTATTTTGACGGTAACAGGAAAAAGGACCAAACTACAATCTACACTATTCTATCCGGATAGCGTGGTGCTCTACACATCTAATCGTGCCAACAAACACCTCCGATAATAGAACCAAGGGACTGTAACAAAACACAACATATATAGCCATGAAACTCACTAAATTTATCCTCAAATGTCGTTCTTGAAACATCTGTTAGTAAAAAAGATTTACAGAACTCATAAACGAACACTCCCAGTCAGCAATTTGGAGTAGAAATTCAACATGAATACAGTCATGATTGAGTAGTCACAACACGTGGTTTCTGGCTTGTAAGAAAGAAAATCAACAAAATACTCACTATTAGCTTCATCCGATGGGCCGTGACCAGCAACGTTGGCCTGGTGATTGGCGCGGGCCATTCGCTGATTATAAATTGACTGTTCCATCTCTTCATAATCTTTACGCATTTTCTTATTCTACAAAGAAATGTTTTCAATTAATAATCTGATGTGTAAAAACTGACCGTATCTACAAGCTTCCGAACTTTCTGATCAAGACTTGATGAGCCAGGTACTGCACGCTCCACTAACTTGATAGTTTCAGCGGAAAACAGCAACGGACCCGGTTTCCTTGAAAAAGAAATGGTAAAGATAGCTAGACAGTTTGAAAAGGAAAATTTGTGATGACTTAATCTGTTGTGTAAAATAACTGTTTAACAGCATGCAATTCTAGGCTTACAGTGGATTCGAGATTAGGAAAGGACTTCGCAGAAAAAGCTTTGCAAACTCTCGTCAAGACGATTTCTGTCTCAGTTTACGATACTATTTTATATGAGTTACAAATGATATGTGGTTTACTAAACTAACGTCGCGAAAGCTATAACAAAAAATCTGACACTCTTACATGCTAATAGAAGATCCACTGCTTTCTACAGAGACTTGAGATGCTTCGTCAGCCTCTTGCTCGACTAACACAAGACCATTCTCCTAAAAAGAAATAATGCAATGACAGCTGGCATTTTCTAGTCATAACTCGTTTTCGACTGAAAGCAATGTAAAGCCGCTACTATAATAGTTACCAGATGTTTGCTACACCCTTAATACATTGCCGCCAGCAATTTCACCTAGAAGACATGATTTTGAAAACAGTGATGTACCTGTACTGGTTATGAAAGTCAACCCGAAGATGTACTTCCGCTTCGACACTACCGTCTCTGTTTTAAGCCACTTTGGATAACCAGAGATCAGGCTCGATTCGACACAAGAAAATGAGTTTGCCAATCCTACACTACCCCCATGTAACTTGACTAAGTCCACTCCAATCTTCTGCCTCAAAGTGTCATTGAGTACAATTCCGCATCCTGCATCACAAGCAAACTGATAGCGCTTCAAACTATGGGCTAAATTGCAGCACATCGACCTCCATTGTGATAGCGACGGCACCTTGCTCACTGCGTGTCCAACGAAACGTACCTGTATCAAATGATCCCGTTGGGCAATCTCAGCTTTCAAATTTTGCTGAGTGGCATTCATTGCTTCTATTGTCCTTTTCAATAACTTCACTTCCTGCAATGAAAAATGTGATCTAGAAGCTCGTGGTATCCGCTATCAATAGCAACAGACGCTAGTAAGGTCGCGACATTCTCGGTTCGATTGTTGGAGCAAAACTTCCTTCTCTTCCAGGTCATCTTTCAGCAGATCAACCTATAAACAGAAAAGAAATTGCTTTAGTTGAAGTGTTTCAGGTTGTCCTAACCTCATACAATAAAGACGACTTTTCGTTATCTAATTGAGAATAGAGAAACATGGCCTGTTGAAACCTGTCTTCCAACTCCAATACCTTGTCCTAAATCGTAAATAAAAATTTTTTATAAAATGAGTCTGCTGAAGTGATAGAAATGTCAAATAAAGAATATTTTCGATGGGGAAATGCTATACTAAGTTCAGACTACGCTAATGACTTTGCCTTGCAATTTCACAGCGCATGCATAACGGAAACACATCGAAATCAGTACCACAAAAAATGCTGGTCATATGCAGAAAACATGAAAAGTAACATGGTTAGACTTTGCAACACACTTCTACAGATACTTGCTACAGACTTAGATGTCCAAATGCATGACCTGCGCATCTCTCCATTACGATTTTTCAAAAAAACAGTAAGAAATAGTTGTAAAAGGTTATAGGTTGTCTTCTAATTATATTTCAGAGGATTCAGTGGTATGGTCTAATACCTAGCGACAAGCCAATCGCATGTAAAGTCAAGCAGAAAGAGGAAGACAGCAGAGAGATCTCGGCGCTAGCCTTAAAAATTTGATTTTCGACCTGGCGCATGTCAAGCAGTGGAAATTTCACGAGTCATTATGCAATAATAACTTAATCCCAAAATTTGGAGCCTCTCATACTTACATGCTAAACACCAACTATATCAAAGCAGAATAGCTCTCTTCACCCATGTGAATGATTAAGTGGATTTGACTTATAAAGCAATGTATTTAACTGAAGGAAGATAGCTTGAAGAATGAAACGAATTGCCCTGCTGAATCTACACTACAAGGCAGAACAAATTTTGGTTTGACAAACTGTGTGTTAGTTGGTCATATCTCGTTGCAGATTCAAATGCAAAGAAACCCGCAAAAATGAAGCAGGATGAAACACGGCTTCCACTAATAAAGCGTCTAATAACAACACAATAAAGGTTCGAGGAAAGTCCAAACATAAGCAACAACGACTTTCGAATACATTAATCGAATAAAATTTGCATGCACACACCTGTAGCTTTTCGCTGCACTCACTCCCGTTCTGAAGACCATTAGAGGTAGACTGCAAATTATACTACTCTAATAACACGCCTTAGAGATAGGCATGCAAAGAAAATCGGAAGCAAACGACAAAAAAAAACAGAATATGAAAGTTAAAATCAGTCTAACGGTGTGGGCATGCACTAAGTGCCTGAAGAACGATAAAATAAATTACCGCTGCGTCTTGGCGATATGCCTCAGCATCTTCCTGAACAGAAGATGAATATCGACTTTTACAGCAAAGCAAAGTGAACATCAATGAAGCAAACGGCGTACCTCAACACGTTTTTCCAAAAGAGTGTACCTATGTTGCCTCGCTTGTTCACGAGTCTCGCGTTTCACTCGCATACGCGCTTCCGCCTATAAGGATGACTTGTAGAGGCACAACTGATCAGCAATATCCATTTTTGAGATGTTAAGAATCAAGATGTTCACCATATTGAGTACGATGTCCAACAAAGCAAGAGCTTGTTTTTTTTTTCAAACACGCACTCAAATACATCCGTAACAGGTGGCGTTCATAGAGTCGCGCAGAAATATTTTTCTTAGCAATTATAGAGCCAGAGCAATCAAAAAAAAACTCAAAACTGGAAAAATTAACATCGCCAATCTGACAGCTCAGAAGTGGACTAGGGCACTTTTTCCTCAGTTAAACATGACCATTGTTAGCAAGCCGTGAAGTTGCATCAATGTGCAAGCTTTTCTCGATTACCGAATTCCTCATTTCTTATGCAAAGCAGAATGAAATGGAAATTGAATTTGTCCATAGTGTAATAAACAAATTCTGCGGAGATCGATATGAGGTGGCGTAGAGAAAAAGCAAACATTAGCTTCAGCCACCAGCTTTCTAGAGCCCATAAGACAACGATATGTCCTGATTCGCTCGAGAAAAAGCAGCGTCTAGTTCAGTGATAAAGATTTTAATCACTTTCGCAAAACTCAGTGCGTAAAAAATCTTCAGTAATTTGGTCAAAACATTTATGGTTCACAAAGTAGCTGCTTATATCGAAATGATGACATTAGAGCTGAGAAAACGAACACTGGTGCTCGCAAATCATGTTCTTCGTGATGTTATTCCATGGATTACGGCAATCCACAAATCACGATGACTTTAGTGGCTTGCGTGGTCGACGAAAAAGCTAACGTCTATTGCTTTCGCACGAGAAAGACTTCCTTTCTGGCTCTGATGGACCAATACCCCAAGTACACGCACGATTATTTCTAACCGCGAGATCACAATCACAAAAAACTGCTGAAGTCTTGACTACTTCCAAGATTTCAACAGCGTACAGCAATTACATCAAGAAAGGAGGAATGTGCTAGCGAACTGTCATGTCAATTCTAAACATGGTGATCTAAAGACTATAAAGATAAGAAAGAAAACTTCGCGATCTAACAAAGATTGCTCGCTCACCTCGCGGGAAATTTTATCGAGAGCTTTTTCTTCGGCATCTGTTTTAGTGATCAATCGTCGCCTACCAGTTGTACTATTGGAGTACGCACTCATAGTGTCCACCATAAAGGAACACTACTACAGAAAACACCTGAAAACGATGAGACGTACCGTCCACTAACTTCAAGGAAACATTGCAAGAACTTTTATTCGAGAAGTGTATAAAGAATGCGATGGAAGCAAGGAGAACGACATCCAGCATGATATACTCATGAAAACGATAGCTGGAATTCATCAGCGAGCGTAGACGAAAGTGAAAGTGAACTGTGACAGAAGCTTGAGGAAATGACCGCTTTTTCTCCGAGAGCCCGCGGACGACCGGTAACGACACGGCGCTGAAACGGCTGGATTCGCCATGGAGCGCGGATTGTGATTAGAGCGGATTTCCTCACCTGACTTCAATTTGGACAAATAGGATTCGGACCACACCATGCTCGTAGCACTTTGGGCGGGGAGGGTGTGTTATCCTACTTGTATCACTCGATAACTATCTTGATTTTTGAGTCTGAGCCACGGGTGGAGTTGGTGCAGATGGATAAGTATATATGCTGAACACGAAAACATAATGGAGAAGGGAACCTAACTTATGGAAGTGGGACAGCGACAGAGGAATCTTGTTTAGTGATGGAATATTGACCTTACTATAGCGTGTCAAAGGAAAGGGTGAAGTCAAGTATGCCGGCCACAGATGCAAAGAGTTCTACATTTTCTGGGAAGCGATAAACTCAATGGAAAACACTACTTGATCTTCAGATCAAAAGTAACGAAGAAATTCTGATGAGTCCAACAAAAAAGACTCGACCCAAGTTAGTCTGTAGTGGAAAGTGTTACTGCATTGAGACTCACGCATCGTTTGTGCCCGGAGGGGGTTCTCAGTACCATCAACGTGGCTGCCTTTCGATCTTTCAACGTGTCAGCTTCGAATAAGCGCCTTAAATTTGCTGTAGTTAACGTGTCAAAACGATCGAAAGGCAGCCACGTTGACGGTACCTACGAGAACCTCTCTGATGCACAAACCATACAGTGTACAACCAGCGTACTTGAAAGCAACATTGGATTACACGACAACATGTGCAAGAACAAGAGTGCCATTAAGGAAAATTAATTTTAGTCTATCTTCTCTTTTATCTTGCAACCTTATTTTGATCAAGTATCCAGGGATTACTGTCTTGCTAATCATAACGACCACATCTCATGCACCACTTCCGTATAATCGCTCTTTCGTTCTGCTTTCACTTTCGCCTAGTTGTTGCAAGCTAAGAGATGTTGATTATGTTATATGTTCCAAATATCAATACCTACATTTGGTTCACCTTTGTGCAACAACCAATTCCCGTTTCTGTAGTCAGTATATGCATCTAGCCTCAGTTGGAAGGACTGCCACTGCGGAAATTATCACAAAATAAGTACTTATATGTGCACTTAATCGGAGCGGACTCTTATAAGTGAACATGCGAAAAAGAAGCACTTGAGTCAAAAAGAAAAACAAAACCAATCATTTTTCATCAAGCGCTAAAAAATAAAGTTCCATGCCAATAACGCGCTCCGCTCGACAGCCGCGCTCCACGGCGAATCCAGCCGTTCCAGCGCCGTGTGGTTAGGCACCCGCCATACTTACCCCTCTTGATCCGCTTAATCCGCTTGATCCGCTTGATCCGCTTGATCCGCTTGCTCCGCTTGCTCCGCTTCTTGCAAGACGCGTGCAAAACGCGCGCATACAGCAGTCTGTCATTTGGCGGCACGTACGGCGAATTTGCCTAACCACCGAGATTGCTTTCTACCTACGCGGCGCCAAATGACAGACTGCTGAGTGCGCGCGTTTTACACGCGTCCTGCAAGAAGCGGAGCAAGCGGATCAAGCGGATCAAGCGGATTAAGCGGATCAAGCGGATCAAGAGGATCAAGAGGGGTAAGTATGGCGGGTGCCTTACCGGTCGTCGAGCCCGCGGCACGCGACGACGCTGCCGCTGGCGCTGGAGCAACGTTGCGGGAACTGGGTCAACGAGCTTTGCGCCGTTATAGAGGATCCTATGGGCTAATCCATAGCACATCGGCAGCAAACTTTTACAGATCTTTAACACTTGTAAGAAAAAATTATAAAATACGTAGAAAACTCAGACCGTTGGAAGCGAAATTAGGCTGAAAGAGCTTCTTTGCATTGCAGTAACCGACGGAAGAAGGGAGAAGGAAGGATGAAACAACTTTATTACGGAGTCACGCCAAAAGCTAACCTTTGTTGCATTACTTCCTTATGAGATAGATAGCTTTTACAAGGTTAATTAGTGAAATTCACACATTCCCCGTGGGAAAGCGCGCCCAAAACAACATTGCAAGTGCGCGCCAATGTCAAAAAATATATTCAACAAATTTCCAGTTTGAATGCCAGCCTCCGTCTCGTTTCATTTTGTGTAAAAGTACTTTTGACTGGGCGGATTCCAGTGTCGGGATGTGGGCCTCATCACCTTTTTTCTACAGGATGCAAAGAGAATGCGCTTTGTTCATTACTTCCATGTGCCCTAATGCTTTGCAATAAGATCGCTCGCTCAGATAATGGATGTGAAAATTCAGAAATGACTTCTTCCATCAATTTTGTCATGGTCTTGCCAAGATGTCTTCTGTGTGTCGTACTTTGAATTTTTTACTTTACTTTAGAGCTCCTCAAAACATGTCTAAGGACTCAATTCCATGGGTGGAAAAGTACCGTCCACAAAAGCTCTCTGAGATTGTCGGAAATGAAGAAATTATACAGTCGTTGGGATATTTTGTTGAAAAGGGTAATCCTCCACACTTTATTCTGTCGGTGAGTTGAAACACAATTCTCTTGCTAATGTTTGGAGATAGCTCGCATTTCAGGGCCCACCTGGTTGCGGGAAAACTACTGCTATTTGGGCTATGGCGAGGGAGTCGCTCGGTGAACATGTGAAAAATGCAGTATTGGAACTGAATGCTTCTGATGATAGGTACGGCTTCACAAAAATTCATGCAGATGTATTTTCTTTCATAAGTTGTGGTTTATAGAGGGATTGACGTCGTTCGCAACAAGATCAAGACGTTTTGCCAGACTAAAGTGACGCTTCCTCCAATGCGTCAAAAGCTAATCATCCTGGATGAAGCGGACTCTATGACCGAGGGCGCTCAACAGGTCAAATTCAATTGTGTTTGGTTTTCGATATACAAAGTCACAATCTTTTACTACCTTTGAACACTGTTATCTACCGGTTTTACGTGTAGCGAATTATCATTTAACTGTAACAAACGTGGTCAACATTGTACTTCAGGCTTTGCGACGTACCATGGAGAACTATAGCGAGACTACACGTTTCGCTCTCGCTTGCAATCAGTCAGAAAAAATAATAGGTTAGTTGCGATATTTTATGTACTACATGCTAAGGACCTTACAAGTTCAAACGAGGGACAGTCAGACCTGCTGATCATCTTATTAGACAGATCAATCATCTTACCTATTCAGATGTAAAACTCATATTTCCGCTACTTTCAGCACCACTTATCGTTACCACAGATGCTCTCATCATGCTTTGTCCGGGCTTTAATTGATACATAGTTTACGTCTTAGAACACCTCATGATAAATGTCTTATGATGAAAGAGTATCTGCTTTCTCAAAAAAATTGTTTTTTTGTGTTCTCGTTGTTTTAACAGGCGCAAATAATAGCAGAAAACGCAAGGGGCCTATCGTTAGCTGTAGTCCTCTCGAGAGAAAAGGCCTCGCGCACTGTTTTCCTAGAGCAAACACTTATCCTTCACATGGAGGGAATCGAGAGCTAGGATCATGCAATCGAAAAACATTTTGTACCCTAATCATCGCTAGCATTTCTACAAATATGGATTGTGAATTGTTCGAGTCACATTTTGAGGGATCATCACGACAATCGATCCAGGCATCAGATCGCGAATACCAATTTTTTTTTTGTCAAACACTAGGATGTGGTTTTAGAACCGGTACAGTCACGTTGCGCCATCTTGCGATTTCATAAATTGACCGATGCACAACTAGCTCACAGATTGCAGGAAGTCTGTGCTGCAGAAAAGGTTAGCCTTACAGTTGCTTGCAAAGTGAATACCACTTTCCGGAAAATTATCTTCACAGGTCAGCTACGATGATGAAGGAATAAATGCTCTTCTATTCACAGCTCAAGGCGATATGCGTCAGGTATGTACCATAATCAGTATCAATATACGCTTGCCAATCATCCTGGATGAAAATCAAATTTGTTGTGATTTTTTTATTGCATTTCACTTCCTAGGCACTGAACAATCTCCAATGCACCGTATCTGCTTACGAATTTGTCTCTGCCGATAATGTATTGAAGGCAAGTTTGTTAATATTATCATAGCTTTTATGACCCATTATCATATTAGGTCTGTGACGAACCTCATCCAGAACTAATGGCAAATATGCTGAAACTTTGCGCGGAGCAGAAAATTCAAGAAGCAGCTCAGATAGTACACGATTTCTACAGGTGTGTTTTTTCTTTGTTAACGTTTTAAACATAATACAGTAGGATCAAGAATACTTCTTCGCCGTCATGTAAATTGTTTCAGAATGGGTTATTCGCCTGAAGATATAATAGCTAATATGTTCCGTGTATCCAAGACGGTTCCTCTATCAGAATACGTTAGGATGGAATTTATGAAGGTCAGTGCTATCAGCGTCAACCCTGCTACAGAATAAGGGTTAATTTTCAGGAGATAGGACTGTGCCACATGCGAATTAGCGAAGGGCTTTCGTCATTACTCCAGCTATCTGGACTGGTGGCAAAACTGTGTGCACTTGACACAAAATAACTTCCATGTTTCCAAAAAGTGTCTATTTGTTCGGGTTTCATTTCTTGATGCAGTTCGGATTCCTTTCTTATCAATTATGTACAGCATAAGATCTCAGACTTCATTGTCTTCGTCATCTTCAAGTTTGAAATCAGAGCTCTCATCTTCCTTCAGAAGAGTGCCGGCAACAATTCCAGAAAACAGTATGGCGCCCATCCATCGGTTAGATCTGAACTTTTTCCAGCAGTCGCTTCCGTCATTTATGTCTAGAGTGCCGATTTGCCATCCAAAGTGCAGAGAAGTAGCTAAAGGTAGTCATTGTCAACTAACTCTATGACAAAATCACATCTACCTGCTAAGCCGACGTAGTACGGCCAAGTCTGTTCAGCAAGCTGACCAGTGACAGCAAGACCAGCAATGGCAGCGGTACCAAAGCCGGTCAACCAATATTTTGTTTTGTCTCCAAAAAGAAGCGCGGTAGACTTCACGCCTATCATTATGTCATCCGTTTTGTCCTAAAATACAATTAAAGCTCAATAACATAGGGGAAGAGGAAACAAGTGAGAAGGGGATGTCCTACAAAGCATGCTGCACAACAAAGTGGTAGTAATGATGATGTGAGAGCTCAGTAGGATGTTAGTAGTACACACTCCCTACTAGTACGCTTTTCCACGTCGCGACACGTCCACTACCTTCAAACAACAACGAGACATTCTAGTAGGGTGAAAGGGTACTGCTACCACATAAAATGGATTGACATGGATGGAAGGTGCTCTATTTGTGACAGATGATAACCTGATGCGCATAAATCGTATCGTACAGAAGAGTCCACTGAAGGGCAGATAAGTAGAGCGCGATCGGTGCGTAACTGAGTGACCCTTGCACGGCCGACCAGCCGAGTAGTGCACCCCAGTTGAACGTGAGCCCTGGAGCGAGAAACTCTGTGCATCACAACAATCTACCTGCTTGCAATGACGGGGATCATGACTTCAAATAGTGGTAATTTTGCTTTTGTAATCAGGCTAAATCACTGCTAGGAATGGTTCGGGAGGAGGGTTTGGGAAATGCCGTATCAAATTGTTTACCATTAGCAAAAATATAAGAATTGCCAGAGCAAGTGAATCAACACAGGTTCAGAAGAGGTGATGTTGCTACCCACACAACGGTGAAGTTTTCCAACACAAGTTTTCCAACACTGGGTTTTAATCTGGAGTCCGAGGAGCGGGATATGAAAGGATCTTGAGGGTAAATGTGAGTGTTTTCCGACTGTAAAGAGGGGAATTTAACTTGGTTGTACGAGTTTCCTAAGAGAGAAGGTATTCACTACACTAATCAAGCATTCACTACACTATGCACACTAATCAAACACCACCTGGCCCAGAACCTCCTCAAACAAACCACCAGTACAACATGTAAAGGAAACCCCTTCAGACTCGATGAAAATCAGCTAAAAGACTAGGAGGGTGTCGAAACCTGGTGACTATATATGGTGTCGTAAATGACAGTATGAAGAACGGTGGAGCAGTAGAGCGGCAATACAGTGTAAAATTGCTCCATAGGTAACATCTCAGCCCACGCAATCAATACACCCCAATTGAGTGTGGCTCCTGCAAGATAATGATGATATACAAACTATGAAGGCTATAATCAGTTCGCGTAGAATCACTGATTCGATCACTTATGATACAAATTGTCATTCGCTGACAGATGCGGTCTAAATCTTATCACATTCACGACAATACGACCCACCGGTGGGTCGCACGGCTATTTTGGACAACACGACCAACCGGTGGGTCGTATCTATTAACATTGCAAGTTTACGAAAGAAAACACGAGCTCACACATGTTTAGAGACATCTAGGTGAAGCACTGATTGATAAACTGCCTTTCGGACCATACGACTTTCGGTGCTTGAAAAAAAAAGACGAGAAGTTAGCACCAATGAGTCGCATGTCCAAAAGGGGCAGAAATCATGTAACGGCTTGGTTGTGAATGTTCCGAAATGAAAACCAAGAATATGAGGTTCTTTGAATCTCCCAACTAATGAAAAACTTGTTAGAAACAAAGCAAACATACGACAGTCCCATCAATCTCCACTGCTAGAGATTAGCTCCATTTAGATGAGCAAAGTTGTATAAGTTAGGGGGAGGAAAGGTCATTAACAACTTACATTTTTACACTTAGCAACCACATGATCTGCTAGAAGTAAAAGGTATTCGCCAAAATATTCAACTATATTTTTGTGTTATCAATTGATTTTATTGAGGATAATCTCTTTTCCATCTGCAACTATATGGAGATTAGTGTCATAGCCTTACGGCTTACATAAGTGCTCTGGGCGCCAAATAAAAGCTTAACTTCAGCTTGATCAACGCTTTCGAACTATGGAGGATAGAAATTCAAGCAAATAGTAAAAGAATGGATGCTCCCTTTCGACTAATAGTGAGAAGATCAAACGGTATTGATGCAAACTCTCTACAATGCATACAAGCCATGTTATTATATACAGACCTAATTTAGATACTATAAAAAGGTGGAATACTTACACCAGTCCCACAGCGACGAGGATAAACTTATACCTACCAAGAACAAACTGTGGCCAGTAAGTGTACCGCTTTGCCAAAGGGTATATCACTATAGCAATCAAGGATGAGGCGCCCACAGCGACGCTGTAAAAAATTTTGGTTTCGATAATCAAACTACTGCTTCTCTCACGCAAATTGTCGTCTCACCAGATAGACAGTCACTTACCTGAACCAGTTGAACTGCAATAATATAGCAAGAGAAGAAGATAGAAGAACGGCCAGGAATGAGATGGCTTGCCGTTGATTCAAAGTCCCGCAAGCTAGAGGACGCATTTTTGTACGTTCTACCTTAAAAAGTTCTGACCTGTCTAGTGAAGTCGGAACTGAATTGGAGAAAAGAGCAAGATGGAAGGAACCGATATTTTCTAACGAGAATGAATGACGGGTGAGTGAAACAAAGCACAACACTTTCGTGTATGTCTTGAAGAAAATTGTATAAAACTCTTGTAAGCTAACCCGTTTATCATATTCTTTGTCCAAAATGTCATTCACAACACATCCCGCACCGCGCATCAAAACAGACCCGGCTCCAAATAAGAGAAGATAGTAAAGTGAAGGTAGTTGACCTGCAGGAGTAGCCAATGCGATAGACCAAGTGCATGGCCAATAAAGTAACCATGACCCTAAACAGCAGAACCAATTATAACTGGTTTCAACAAAAAAGTGGATACTCACCAGTTGGAGTATGAAGGCGCATCAATTGCAAATAAGGCTTGAGAGCGGGAGGTGCAGCATCTACGAGGTCAGCCGGTGTGGGCAGCTTTATTGATCTTGAATGTGGAGGTGTTTCCAATGTAGGAACAGTATCGCTGGAGCTTGAGGTAGTCCTGGAAGATCTCAAACTTTACAAAAAAATCAGTGTGCATCTCACCATCTCTTAGAGATCACAGGGTAAACCCTCGAAGAAGCAGTTGTCCAAGACGAACATATGCGAAAGCAAGCTGTGAAAGACTGAGATCTCGAGAGCATTTCCTATCGTTCCATATAATCTAAATGTGCTGAAAAAAGAGCAATATAGTGATAGTGGCTATAAAAGATTGAAAATTACACAGATATAGGTGGTACCTTGAGCAGAAATCTACCTCAATCAACACATAAAACCTGTATCTAATTAAGCATAAAATCTATATTCGAACAGAATTTGCAGGAAACATTTTAACAACAATGCCAACTAACATGAAAACAACAGAAACAAGTGTAACAATTGCTACCAACAGGAAGTAGACAACAATAAACTGTATAACATATAAATCGGTACATTCTTTAGAACTCCATAGTATCATTTCTTTTCACAACTTCTATTTTTGTGACGACACTTTCTCTGCTCTCAGGATCTTTTGACTCAAGTTCACGTCGAATTTCGGGCGAAATAAGATAGTGACTTTGATACTACAACAAAAACTAAACGGATGAGATGGAAGGGACATAGGCTTACCCTGATTAGGTCCATAATGGCAGCCTTTTGTTCCTGATTCAGATCGTTCTTGTATCGCTGGCATACTGCCAAAAGACACTGATGCCAAAGTACAGGCATTTCTCGCTCATCATTTTTCATCCTTTAAGAATTCTGCATTACCTGCTTTGATGTGATTTTGACGTACATACTAGCGAAAAATCAAAATAGTGCAAAATAACCTCAGAAAGTGGGAGACCAGTGCGTCAATTGCTTTGTAGGGGAGAGCGAATTTCTTATCAATGAGTGCTCGAAGAAACACTGAGTTAGCACCATTGTACTCCAGCTCAGCGATCTGTAATGTCCATGGTGCTGTTGAAGTTGTTGTTAAAAGTTGAAAAAAAGTTCAAAACATAAAACAAACATATAAAAAACATAACAACAACAACAACGAAACATAATGCCTAAAGTGTATTGAAAGAAATGAAATAAAATGAATGAAACAGATGATTACCTTCAACATAGCAGCAGCCGCATGAAACATCGGTATTGACACTTTAGCTAAGACAGAACTGAAGATGGTTGCTTCTCGCAAGGTACACGTTCCTGACTTAAAACGAAAATGAAAAGGGAAGAGAGCAGCGCTGCCGATTTTCAAATTAAAACACAGCTTTTGTTGAAATTTTTGAAAATGACAAGATCGCGTTACCTCGCAAAGTGGAAGTATTATGCCTTTGAAGAAAGCAGCAGGCTTGTACATAGCCTTACAAAGAGCCTGATACAAGTGGAAGTTAAGCTTCTTGAACTCATCAATGTCATCACGCAATCGTGGAAGTAAAACAAGATTGTAGAAACTAAAAGAGAGCACAAATGGAACGCCTGCGTACAACAAAACTATGACAAAAAACGTACCGCTGACACATTCTCGGATTGAGATTAGAAGCAAAAAGTCTAGTGGCCTGATACATAGCTGCTGCACTCCAACCATCGGGATCAGTCAAGCTGTAACTAGGAAGGTGACCGATAAATGACAAGCTATTGTTAACTCACTACAAAATCTGTTCCCAATTCACCATCTTCGGTATGACCTTGAAAGCCTTTGGAATTTTTCCACTTCTGTATTTCGACAACACTTTTCCTATTTGCTTGTACATCTCAACAACTTCTGCGTCAAGGTCTCTGATCTAAACAGAAGTTTAGAAAGGTCTAAGCAAAAGAAGTTGCTGTTTACATTGAACTCGTTAGGATCCACAGTGCTCAAAGCAAGTTCCGCATCGTCTGTTTTTGCATCGATTTTTGCACGGATAATATCGTACAATGTCTTTGTACCACTGTCTTTGGTAACCATGAACCGTTCCAAATCAGCTTCGTCCTTAGGATCAAGGGGCTGGAATACAAAACTGTAGTGTAGGCTTTGCTCCATCGAAAATGAACCTTACAATGACTTGATCTTCGTAACCATCATCATCCTCGGGAAAATCATCTAAGTCGGAGTCTTGCTCGCTTGTCCCACCCAGGCTGACATTTCGTATCCTCAAACAATTTCGAACTATGGAGCCCAGACACAAGATAATTTGGCTTGTACATTGAAAGTGAATAGCGAAAACCAAGTCAACAACTTATAAATCCTTCCAACATTTGGCTTTGTAATCAGTACTCTAAAATAACACCGAACTACATCTTCAAAATTGCAACTGCGATACTTGGATGGCTTAGCTTGGCGGATAAATTTTGGAGTTTGAGAAAGCTATCGGTAACATCAAAAACATGATTTACCTCTTGTTAGCTTCAACTTCCATGGTTCCATCCTCACTTTCAATGTCATTGATTTGCTTCCTCGCTTGCGAGATGATCTTTTCAGAAAGAGCATTTGGTATGAACTGAAATTAGGAATCAGCAAGCACAACAGTAAAAGAGAATCTGAAACAGACAAGGCGGGAACAAAGTCTAGCACTGGTATGGAAAAGACGGTAGCTAATAAACTTACCTCATCAGTCTTCTGCTCAATCTTGCGTTTTCTTTTCGCTCGTTCCTCTGACCGAGCTTTTGCTATCCGTGCACCTTCGATTTGCTGTTCCAAAGGCCCTGGTGTCGGAATAAGATCTCCTTTTGCTGACTTCTGTATGGCACTCTTCTTGCCCATTATGGTTCTGAAAAATTAAAATACATGATCTCTTCACAATAGCTATTATTAGAAGAAAAAAGCAGTATATATATATATCAAAAGTCAATGCTTCCGCTCAGACACTCGCACCGGCCGGCGACCATTCGACGACGGCCTTCCGGCTGGCGGCCGTTCCATCATTTTGGGCGGAGCCAAACGCCGGCCGGCCACCGGACGAGTAGATAATGCCGGCCGGCGGCCGTTCCACTGTGCAAAAGTTCGGAAAGTGCACAAGGTTGCGCTTACAGTACGAAAATAATTTCAAACTTGGGCGCTTGTGTCTGCTAAGCAGAAATCTTTTCTTTATTAATCTTCCTTTTGTTATTATTGGGGTTTTCTAATTCGGTTGCGTCATTTCTTTGTCCGATGATAGTTGATGTAGCCCATTATCAAGATTCCGTTCATTCCATTCATTCCTTTTCAGATTTGTTCAAACTCCATGGTGTTCCCTATCTATTCTCTCTATATTACTGCTTATTTTGACTTGAATGGCGATAGAGCCGAACATCAGTGAGTTCATGCCTATTTGCTGTGACGTGAATTCTAGGTAAGTGTCGCATCACTTTGTATGAACTAATGAAGTACAACGTCCACAAGTTTTTAGGAGACACCTGCAATACATTGTGTTTGGGTTCTTGCTTCTATGATGGAACTACAATGAATGGTTGACCGCTGTCAATACACTGTTATTCGTGAATACGATTATGGCTTCCAGTGAATGCTCATTTATATAATTCTTAATCAATGCTGCGAATTGTGAACTATTCCTGCTTTGCTGGTATTCTAATTCATCTAGAGATCGTTGATCTGTTGGTTTCTGCTAAGTCACTATGTGATATACTACCGCATTTCTGCTAACCTGATGCTTACGGCTGCTCGAAGCACTCCAAAAGATGTAAGTTTTTCCTGACTAACATTTGATTGAAATTACCCAGTGTTTTCTAGGGACCGATACGATCATCTGTTCTAACCATCTTCTGTGAACGCATATGTTTTGATATTGCTCTGCTAACAGACGTTATCACTACTCTATGCATAGGTGTAAGTTCTAGTATAAGTTAAAAATTGTCAATAGTTTGTTTCATTTACAGGTTATCGATGCGGCTTAGGTTGTATGTGGCATTCAGAAGTACAAAACAAAATTATGTGACCTTTTAGCCTAGCCAATCCGGAAAGGTTGTTCAACGATATGTGAACCAGTTGCATCAAATGATATTATCGTATATATGCAAAGTCACTTGCTTTATAATTATGAATGTATATACGGAAAGTCACTTGCTTTTTAGTTTTTAATGTATTTTTCATGCATATGTGTACAGTGTGTCAATGTTTGTTGTTTGTTTAATGTCTCCATTGTACCTTTTGGCTGTAATAAATATGTTGTTATATATTCGTACCACCCCATATTAAGGTTACAGAGCTGAATGAAAGCTAGATAGAGAAAAAAATACTGTGGCCCAGTGCTATTTTGTTGCGCCACCGACGCACGCCGCCGGCGGCCGTACGGGTACCGGCCAGCGGCCGTTCGAGTACCGGCTGGCGGCCTGCTGACGGTCGTTCCGGCCGAAATGTCGGTGACGGACCGGCCGGTCGTGGAACGGCCGCCGGCCGGTGCGAATGTCTGAGCGTGAACAACCCGATTTTGTGCAGTTGCGGCCAGTGCAGGACTACGCCTATAATTGAAAACGCGGTTGGGACGAGGGCCAAGCGTAGGGTGTGGCATACCACACCTGGGGGTCGCATTGAGGAATCAGGGAGGGGGGGGGGGTCGTTATCAAGGCGTCCGCTGTTCGCATAACATGATAGTCGTTAACCATGTCAAATAGCCCGTCATGCAAAATACTAGCACATTGATGTTTGACCCATTATCGTATACGTCCGCTGTTCGCATAACATGATAGCTAACAATAAGCTTCATCCCAAATCGGAAACAAATACCCTGTAACTTGTCAGAAACTGGTTTATCATCTCGCTTATCACGTAGGTATCACAACCGAGCTGAGCATCATGACTTATAATAAAGCGCTAAACGTCTGTCTTTTTGTGCGTGTGTGTGTTTGTCTGTCTGTCACGAAATTCATAGAGGCAGCTGCAGCCAAGCTATCGAGCTACAATTTTGCATAGCATACCGTACCAGCGTGTAGGCCCACCATGCACAAGGACGAGCCGGTTCGATAAGCGGGTCCTTCAAAAATTGCGCCTCAAACGGGTCCACCTGGCTTTTGGCGCGCAAAACTAGGTCACAAATTCAGCTTTTTGCAAAGTTCTGATTTGCATGACAAGTAAATCTGCGCTCCAAGAATTCTAGCTCAAAAAGTGCTCAAAAAGTTTGCTTTTCCGCGAAAAGCGCCAAAAAGGAGTGATCGCGTAGAGAGTCGATTTGACAAGGTTTTACATAAATATCCGAAAAGATTTTTGCATGAAAATGTAGCCCAATATGACTATTGTCTTTATAACAATTATCAAGCCAAAATAAATTCAATAATCTTTCCAATTCGTAGTTAATCCTTGGCAAAAAAGTTTTCTTTTTCAAAATTACCGATCTTACATGGAGATGCTTCAAGAATGAACAGTTGTTTACAATTCATTTCGGTGACCAGTACAGATAAGGAGCTGGCTTAAGCATGTTCCGATAGCACCATTTCTGGTGACAATCTACAAAAAGGAGTAGGTAAGTCGTCCAACAGAGGCGCTCAAAGTGCAGATAGATTCAGGAACTAGCATGGTATCGCAGCATCTCTCTCAGCATACCTGCTAAAGGCACTTCCGGTGCACAAAGAGCACTACTTTCGTAATCAGCGACTCAGCCTCTACGGGCGAAGTTTCCGGTCGATACAAGATCATCATTTTAGCCAAAACCCGTCGTCAAGATTGAGAGCCGAGAACTAGAAAATATCAAAAGGTTCGAATTTTTTGGAAGACTTGCGCATAAAGGTTATCTAGCCTGCTGATTACGAAAAACAAAATTGCATTGGAACCTAGCGGCTTACTGTAGAGTTACGGTAAGTGAAATTTGGCAGACACGGGTTTTTCCGAAATTCGCCGTCATCTCTTTCCCTCTGGAAAAGAGAACTCCGGTTAGTCTCTAGCGGATGCATAAAACAGCTTTACCGAATCTTTTTACTAAAGTCGTCCACGTTTGTTTTGCTCTGCGAAAACCCGTCCTCGCGGAAAAAATTGAGCAGATTGAAAACAGACTAGCAAGATGGTAGTATATTATGGTGTTTGCCTTGAGGAGTTGAACATAAGGCTTTTTTCGGAGATTCATATTTTGTGCAATCTGAAGAAAGTTATGAAGAAAAAGAAAAAACTTGGGTCAAGGCTTTTTTCGGAGATTCATATTTTGTGCAATCTGAAGAAAGTTATGAAGAAAAAGAAAAAAACTTGGGTCAGTCTTTGCGTTTTTCTTGTCGAAAATTAGTTGGATAACGCATATATGTGCAAATTGGCTCTCATCGTACAGTTACCGTAACTCTACAGTACACCGCTACTGCAACAAATAGATATTTTCCCTGTAATGATCACATCGAGTAAGCCCTCCATGGAGAGCTTCAGGCGTATCTAGACTTTGTACCCTGTACTTATACTTATCGTACCCCCACTTCCAATAAATCAGAAGATGTTCCGTGTCGGGCAGAGTCGAATGCTGTCTTGGATTCAGAATTCACCCACTCTGAAGCGAGACATGGCCACGCGACGGTGATGTCACATGAAGGCGACCGTCACATAACCAAGGTCAAACGTGGGGTGTAGCATGCCACACCTAGGGGTCGTATTGAGGAGTCAGGGAGGGGGGGGGAGGTGGGGTCGTTATCAAGACATTCTCCTGTTCTCATAACATGATATTCGTTAACCATGTCAAATAGGCCCGTCTTGCAAAATACTAGCACATTGATTTTTGACCCATTATCGTATACGTACAGTAAGCATAATTAAAGATCTATAAAGCATAAGAGCATTGTTTTGTAATTAGCAAGTAAAATAATCCCTGTGGTCCAATTTTCAGCGAATTCTGCGGTTTCAAATACAGGACCAAGTAAGTGAGATGGTCGTTCTCAAACATGTTACTTTGTTTCAAAGTAAGTTAACTACTTCCTTTTGCGCTCAATACAAAGGACTACTATTTCTTTGCTCACATTAGAAATCCTACTTCAAATGATCTCCAGATTAAGGAATTAAGAGCAAGCCAAAATCTCGTTTGTTCCATTTTTCGTTTTCATATCTCAGGCTAGAGAAGACCAGTCAGGCTCAAGTCACTTTAATGTACTAGATTACGAGGCTCAGGCTATCGAATATATACATTCTTGTCGCCTTCCTTTGCGATTCACATATCTAGTAGCGTAGCCATAGCATGTTACCGCCCTAATATTTTCGCAGTATTTTACCACTATATTACATCTGCATAGGTAAGATAAAACGATTATATCTTGCTCTTGAAGAAACGTTTTCATATGAAAGTTCTGCTATGTGAAGAAGAAGATTAAGCAGTAACAGCGATATAAAAATGTAGCTATTTGATCTGTTTGAGGTAAGTTAATGGGGTGTGGCACCACCCCTAAAAAGCTGTGGCAGCCACAGCTTTTTAGGGGTGGTGATATAGTTAATGGCGCCATACTCCATTAACTATATCAAAAAAACATTTTTAGCAAACGTTATTTATATGAATCGATAGCATAGACCTCATAGATTTCACAGGAGCGATTTGGCTGATTCGTCTTCTTAGCTCTAAGTAATATTTGGTGAAAGCACAGCCATTATAAGCGAAAAATAGAAAAAACAAGATTTTGGTTGGCTTCTATTTCCAAAGTTAGGAGGTCTTTTAAAGCGAGATTTCTAAAGTGGCCAAAGAAGGAAGCAGTGCTTTGTCTTGTGTGCAAATACAGCTAGCTACTTCACCTTTGAAACAAAGTTAATCATGCTGGAAAATGGCGATTTCACTTAGGTGACCCAGTATCTTGAAACTTCAGAATTCGCTCAAACATTGTCTACAGGGGTTAATTGACATGCTAATTATGG